TTTTGAAGTTTCCGAACTGATTTTGCCTCGAGATTCGTGCCCGATCAAGATAATTTTGTGATGACGTATTAGCTTTGATTATATATTTGTCATTTATTTATATATGTGTCAGGATTAGAAGTTGGTAAGATAATCAACAAATGCACATTGAGTGAAATAAGTAAGAATGAAATCAACAAAAATTGCCAAGTAAAATATATTATATTGTACTATATATATATATATATTATATTATATTTGGTATAATTAAATTTGTAATCAATTTATATTAATTAAGGTAATTCAAAATTTGAATTAACCATACTATGGGATGTATATCATACCAAATGATCAACATCATTATCCCCACTAAACTGACCGTTTTCTTAATTATCTAAATTCAAAATTTAAATAGATTGTACTATGCAATAAAGATCGTATTATATGATAGACTTTCTTAATTAATCTAAATATGTAGTTATATCAACAAAAAAATCTAATTTATATCTATTTAAATAGATCATATTATACAATATAGATCGTACAGTAATATTAATTAGCGCTAAATTTAATTTCACAAATTTAGGATTTTTGTCTAATGCACATCATATAAATTGATTTTTCTCTCATTCTTAATTTAAGAGATAGTGTGTAAGCTTCAGCAAAAAGAGAGGAGATGATGAGGACATCGTTCAGAGATTCAAACATGTGCACCGACGACAGAATCGTAGATCGACGGCTACGATTCAACATCTCTACTTTGATGCATTTCTTTATGTTTTATTTAGTTTTGTTGTTTTCCGAATTTACCCCTATGGGGAAGTGTTTTGTTATTGCAGCCTGGAGGGCAATTGTGTACTTTTTTTTGTTTGAGACCTACATATAGTGGCCTTATGTGTTGTAAGAGGATGATGATTTGATAATGCAAATTTCATGTGTTTTCTTCTTCTTGTGTGAGTACTAGAGAGAAGGGGGAGAAAGCTCAAGGTGAGAGAAAGCGCAATACCCAGCAGCCGTTGGAAGAGTCTACGGCTCATAGTTTAATTTATTTTATTTTTCTTTTCTTCTTTTCCCCACCCCAACTGCCGGCTCCTCCTTCCCCTTCCACCTCCGGCCATCCTCCCCCACCCAAATCCTCCCCTTCCCCCTTGCTCCCCTTCAATTATGATGAGTTCAATCATCATAATTCCCTTCCTAAATTGGCTCCAAGTAAGAAGGAAAAGGAGTTAATTGATTTGAAATTCAAATTCAAATTTCAAATACTTGCCTTATTTACAAACCCTAATTTAGGAGAGTGCATAAATCCAAGTCTAATTTAAATTCAAAATAGATTTGAGTTCTTATTACCTTTCCTAAATTACATTAGTTGTTTTGGAAACTAATAAATCCCTCCCAAATCTCCTCCCTCCCATCATGATGCCGCCGGCCTCCCTTTAATGGGCTCCCCTTGACTTTCCTTTGGAAGCTCTCAACATTAATTGAATTTGAATTCAAATTTTTAAATTCAATTCCCTCCAAATCCCCTTAATCTAAATTAATTTCAGAATTAATAAATCTTTTCCCAACCCTAACCTCCTCTACATCTCACCCACCCAAACCGTCCCCTCTCCCTCCTTGGCCGCCCCTTTCCTCTTGCCTCTTCACCCTTGGAAACCCTATATCTCTCATGTTTGTTGAAGCTAAGAGAAGAAGGCAAGCTCCTCCCTCCCTCTTGCCATTGGTGTATGGCCAATCCTGAGGTCGACTACGGTCTTGCCTACAACGCCCAAGGAGAAATCGATATTCTACTTTCCCCTTTCTACGAACCAGATTGAGAATACGACGACTCGGTGGAAAGCTACGTCAACCACATCCTCCATCGCCTCGCCAAGATGATTTAACTCCAACAACCCCGAGTACCTTAGCTCCTCATTGGAAGATCAACGACTTCTTCTCCTCCAGCTACTTGTCCGGCAAACAAGGCCTTACGGGCCTTTTGTCTTGTGGTGGCGTCATTGGGATTGCTTCTACCATTCCTCCGCTGAACCCAACTCCAAGAGCGAGTGAGAAGGAACTCATGGTGACTATTTCTCGATGTTACATCGTGGATTCTTGTTTATTTGCTATTAGTATTATTATCTTGTTTTCGTTGTTATTTTGATCCTCTTGCTAACCTTATTGTAACCGCTTACCATCACTTAATCTTCTAACGGAATTTCTAAGAATTTGACTTGAGTGAAACATAAGTTTTTAACAAGCAAAGTTCATGTCCAATTTTTACTGTTAAAATCCAAAGCAAATCTTATCGCATGAATGTTTTACATCAAGAGATATTTCATGGAAAAACATTATTATTCCCACAGTGTCAAACTCTAGAGAAACAGAGATTCTTTTTATGAGAGAGTGAACTATTTATTCTCTTTTTTTCTAAACCTGATGGACCTCATGTAATGAAAATGTGTTATTTTGAGAGCTTTAGCATTGCATGAGATCTTGAATCTCTAAAGCCCTTTAAAACAAGATTTTCCTAGCCAATAAGCTAGAGTAGCATCCTTTTCATTTTGAGTAGAAATGAGGGTGTAGGATTTTTTTATTATCCATGAATGAGAAATGCTTCTCTGCCTTACAGTGGCTCAATGAGAGAAAAATGGAAACTTTAGAGGAGGAACTCGGGGATAGATGTAAGCATTGATATCAAATAAAAAAATTGATTTGCATTTCCTCTTCGTTTTTCACACCGCTACAT